CGACGGCGGGCGGCGGGATCCCGACATTCCCGGAGAGGAGGAGGAGGAGGAGGAGGGGGAGGAGGAGGAGGAGGAGGAGGAGGAGGAGGAGGAGGAAGAGGAGGAGGAGGAGGCGAGTAGCAGCACGCTTGCGAGCAGCGCTCTGGGCAGCCGCAGCGCAGCAGCACAGCTCTGGCATCCAGGAGCTGGCTGCGCAGGGCCGCGAGCGCCGCCGCGGGGAGCAGCACGACGGCGACGAACCGCACGGCGTCCGGCAGCGAGCTGCGCGGCTGCGAGCAGGTCGACGGCCACAAGACCGACGTCGCGTTCGCGCTCTGATGCCGGCCGCGTTATGGGCCCTCTTCCTCCTCCCTCCCCCTTTTTCTTTTCTTCCTCGTTTCCCCTCGCCGCCCGATTTGCCTCTCAAGCTTGGCCGTGATTCTCGACGTTGCGCGCATGTGTTTCTCCGAATGGACGCGAAGTGCGACCGGGGCGGCGCTCTTGCCTGGCCCTGGCGTGCATGAGGACATTGGCTCCCCGTTTGGGGCCGTTTCCTTTTTTCCTGGGCGAAGCCGTCGCCAATCGCAGCGGAGCCGCTGCCCTTCAACATCATCCACGTACTACTCTTGACTTGCATTCTTGTCTTGTTTTCCCTCATTCTGCCCTCTGTCTCCTCCTCGTCCTCCTCCTCCTCCTCTTTCTCCTCCTCTTCCTTCTCCTCTTCATTACTGCGCTAGGTCGTGTTGGATTGATCAGCACGGCTGTTTGGGCCATCTTCTACGGGTATACGACAACTTCTGCGCAGCCGCGGGGCCGATACGTTTCAAAGGAAGTTTGTATCATTGACTTGTTTTGTTTCTGCCCGAATCCGGGGCCATTGCTGATTTTCGGGGACATTGCTCAGCTCCCCGATTCGTGGCCTCTTCCCTCGTCCTCAACCGCTTGCCTGGGCAATAATGGTCACAGGTGGCTCCTCTTATGTGCGTCTGTCTGTCTGGGATGGGCAGGATTCGTCCGCTCCAGCCGGCGCCTACAGGAATCATCAACTTGAACGTGGCGTGGCCAGAATCCTTGGACGGAGTTTTGGCCACGTTCGCAGGACACCCCTGCGACGAACGTGACAGGTGCCGGCACGGTTGGCGAATCGAGTTGTGTATACTATCGCTGTCCGCTCTCATCTCCTTCTCTTCCCAAGAAAATGGGGCGACGATTGACAGCATCTGCAGCATCAGAGCTGCAGTAGCACCAGGAGGGAAGAGGTGGTGGTAGTGGAGAGCAGGATGAACATGATCGAACAAAAACGGCATAAACATAAATGTTCGCAGCTCCGCGCGGATTTCTTGGATCTGCGCTGGGGCCCTCTGGTGGCGCCTCCGGCGCCGTCCCTGGCGCGCTCCGCGCGCCGGGGAGGGGGGGTCGAGTGCGTCCGCGCGGACCGTCAAAAAGGTAATGTTTCTGCCTTTCTTCCTTCCTCTAGTTATATGAGGCGACGATTGACAAAATCTGCATAATGTTTCTGCCTTTCTTCCTTCCTCTAGTTATATGATGCGACGATTGACAAAATCTGCATAATGTTTCTGCCTTTCTTCCTTCCTCTAGTTATATGAGGCGACGATTGGCAAAATCTGCAGCAGCAGCAGCAGCAGAGCTGCAGCAGGACCAGGAGGAGGACGGAGGGGAGAGCAGGGAAGAGGAGGAGCAGGAGGTGGAGCAGAAGGAAGAGCCGCTTGAATCTGACAGAATCCAGCATCGTGCCATGCGCATCATCCTCTCACTTCGGGTGCGCATGCTGCTTTCTCGCAGTCTCCAAATGTGCGTGATTAGTGTGATACGTAGGGTTCCACGTGCGAAAGTGTGGCTCAAACGCAGGCGTCCCAGGGCCAGCGGAGACATCGCATGGAGACGACACAGGTTTCAGCTGCATGCACGGGAGATCTGCCACTTCCAGGGCAGTGCCCTGCGGTGACCCTGTACGTTGACTGGGCCTCTTGGGGGCTGTTTCATATAGTATGGCCCTTCGCAGTGCAGATGATTCTGAGCATACTGTTCCTCGTTCTGCTGCACCCCGCGTACGTGGCGGCCTTCTACAGGAACCAGAACTTCCAGCGACGGGCGAAGACGTACTTTGGCACGAGCGACCGCCCGAAGGTGGCCCGGCCGCTGGGCCTCGTGGTCTTCTCCACGGTCCAGGTGTTCTCCTCGCTAGCGGCAGTCGGCATCTGGGTGTTCCACACGTACCGGCGGAAGACCTCCCGCGTCACGAACAGTGTCTTGTTGGCGTTGGCGTTTGTGGACGTGGCCTGCTGGATCACGGGCCGCGTCTCGAGGAGCTGTGAGCTGTCCAGCCTCTGGGAGCTCAACGCGATCGTCGACGTGTCAACGTGCACCCCCGTCTTCGCACGAGCGCTTGGTTTGCTCAGCGGGTACGACGACTGGCTGAGCCTTCATTTTCTCAGATCTTTCTCGGCCCTGAACAGCTTCGAGCGGGCACGGCGTATAGCACAGCTCGACGTGCACACAGCGGGGTTGGCACAGGTGCGAGTGCAGCTCGCCTTGCGAGTCGTTTCCCTTCTGACCGTGATGGCTGGTACGATTTTTACGTTCGAGGTTTTAGGGGATCCCCATTGGTTGAGAGACAGCTTTGTGGAAACTGAATCTGGTGACTCGGTCTCATTCGTGCAAATGGTATACTGGATAGTTGTGTCGATTACTACTGTTGGTTATGGTGATTTTGCTCCGAGGACTGTGCTTACACGAGTTATGACGACCGTATTCATTGTCGTGGGTGTTGCTTCAATCTACATCATCCAGTTCACTTTTACAGAGTTGATGAGACGTCAGCACGAGGGCACTGGAAGATATTGGCATCGCAGTTGGGGCCAGAGAAGGCACGTGGTGGTCATTTTGAATCACAAGGGTGAGGCCTCGCGCGCAGCTCCGTTGATCCACGGTCTGTTACAGGAACTGATGCATGCTTCGCACAATCAGGCCGAGGATTATCATGATCTCGCATCCTCTGCGTGGTCGCATTTCCGCCGCTGGTGCCAGAGCGGGATATCGAAGCCCAAGAAGAATTGGCCCGACGTAGTCATATTCTCGCCCACGAAGTGGGAACCCGAAAACAGCGACGATTCGACCTTCCAGAAGTTCCTGGAAATGACGGAGGAGTTCCCTCGGAATGTGCGGAGCCGTGTCTGGTTTCTCGTCGGCGATGCAACGTCGCGGTCAGATCTAGACCGCGCCCGGGTGCGGGACAGTGCCTTGACGTACATGCTCTCGGACATACGGAGCCTTGCGCCCGATCGGGACGACGCGCAGACCATCCACGCGGCCGTGGTCCTGAGAGATTTCTACCCCGACGTGCGCCTGCGCCTCATGGTGAACAAGCCAGAGTCCAAGGTCCTGGCGCTGCAGGCGGGCTTCGAGACCACCCGGTGTATCTCGACGCGGGAGCTCGCCGCCAGCATGATGGCGCAGAACGCGCGGTGCCAGGGCCTCCTGCCTGCGGTCGCCGCGCTGATGAAGTCCGTGGACGCGGACGACGAGGAGTTCTTCGTGCGGCGCGCCGCGGAGCAGTTCCTGCAGCACGCGGGGCCCGCCGGAGCCGCGCCCGCCGGCGCCGGCTGGCCCGGCGAGGGCGCAGGCGGCACCTGGACAGGCAGGGGCTCGAAGAGGACCAGCGCCGGCAGCATGGCCAGCATCAGCAACTGCAAGAACATGGACGAGATCAACAAGGTGCTGCGGAAGAGCCAGACGCAGTGGAGCAGCAGGACGCAGAGCTACGAGTACACGGACCCCTGGCTGTTCGAGTACCTGGAGGGGACCGCGCACGCCGCGTTCGGCTTCGACCTGCACCAGAAGTTCGAGGGTGTGGGCTTCGGGGCCCTGGTGATATCCGTCTACGGGGAGACAGGCGCGATCGTCCTCGGGGTGCAGGCAAAAGGGAGGGTCGTTCTATGCCCCCAGGCAAAGGGTTGGAGGGCCCGCGCCGGCATGGTCTGCTTCGCGATCGCCAGGTCGTCGAGCTCTCTGGACCCCGTGCGCCTGAGCCGGGACGACAGGACCTCCTGGCGGAACACCTTCCAGGTATCCAGGCGGCTCCGTCGCGCGCAGGGGGTGCGCAGGGGGAGGCACCTGGACGCGGCCGAGATGATCGGCCTCTCGCTGAGGAGGGCGCTGATGCCGCCCCAGGGCGCCGGGGCCGGCGAAGGCTCCCTCGCGGGGCCGGACACGCCGAAGTACCCCTCCGCCACCTGGCAGCCGACGATCGACACCTCGCTCGAGATCACCAGGGACGTGAGCAGGGAGCTGAGTTCCCCTACTCGCCGCAGGAGGAGCTTCGGCAGAGCAGAGGTGGCACCACCGCTCCAGCCGTCCGCCCCCGCGGAGATGCAGGGGGCCGAGGCCGCCCGAGCCCTGCGGGAGAGCCTGCAGCCTGGCGAGGACCTGATGATGCTCGTCGTCTGCGAGGGGGGCTCCTGGCAGATGGTGCGGACGTTTCTGAGGACCCTGCGGCAGGACCACCTCCCCGTCATCCAGCCGGTTGTGGTGCTGGCACCCGCGCGGGCCCCGCCCGGCCTCCTCGAGGACTACGGCTTCCGGGTGGCTTGCATGCAGGGGTCCTGCCTGCAAGCGCAGGCCCTGGTGGAGGCGGGGCTGCTCGAGGCCAGCACGGTGGTGGTGCTCGCAGGGGAGCCCGCCGAGCACAGCCGCCTGTCGGACCACAACCTCATTCTGTGCGCGCAGGTGCTCGACTTTTGGCTGGGCGCGTTCCCGAATCGGGTCTTCGTTTCCTTCGAGCTGCGGGACTCGGCGTCCGCGAGACACTTGCCGAAGCTGCGTGGCAAGACGGTCTCCGAGGACCGTTCAGACCTGCACCAGTGGGCTATGACAGGGGTTGAAGGCAGCCACTGGCGTGGAGGAGAGCCGCTGTCTCCAGTCGGCGTCATAAACAGGCGCAGGTCCGCAGGCTCTCTAGGGATCACGTCGTCTTTCACGAAGCACGGCGAGCCCGCCGGGGACGCGCTGGCGATAAGCCGGTCCCGGGAGGGCCGAACATATACATATATATGTATATATGTGCATACATACATACATATATATATATATATATATACATATATATATACATCTATATATATATATATATATATATATATATATAATATATATATATGCATTCCTTTTTCTATGTGTTTATAATCCGAGGGGGTGGGAAACCCCCTCCCCCCCCGGGCCGGACCTTCCGGAATCCCTGGCTTCTGGGGGCTCCTGGGCGCCCCTGCCGAGAGTCCCATGAGACCTCTGGGCTTCCGGGAGTCCCTGCCAAGTCGTGCAAACGAGCCGGCGGTAGCCCCAAGAGGGTCCAACATAGCCTCCTGATGGCCCAAGAGACCTTCCAAACGCCCCAAAGAGCTACAAGAGAAACCCCCAAGTGGACCTCCAAATCCAAAACCTGTGCGTTTCCCTTAGGTTTTTGCATCATGTTGGCATCGTTTTTTCGTGCTACAGACGCCCCACGAAGGCTCAAAGGCCCCAGGACAACCCATGACGGCCCGAGAAGGCTCCAAGACGGGCGAAGATGCCCCCCCGATCCCGGAAGAAGACCCCAAGACGGACCTTCAGACCGCCACCAGGCGCGAGCCCTCCGGCCCTAAAGGACCCACGAAACTGCCAACAGGCGCCCAAACGCCCCAATCAGGGTTCACGAGGTCCCCAATAAGACCGAGAATAAACCAAAGGGGGCTCCAAGTTATCTCCAAAACCAGCAACATTGTTTCCGCGACGACCCCGAGACGCCTCCCCACAGACCCAAACACATCGAAGGGACCTTTGACGTACGACTCCGCATTGGCGCCCTCGTCCAGCATTTCCATTAAATATGTCTGAATCCCAGTTTCGCGACGTTCCCTTTAGGCACGTGGGTAGGAGGAGGAGGATGAGGAGGAGGAGGAGGATGAGGAGGAGGATGGGGATGATGATGATGATGATGATGATGATGATGATGATGAGGATGATGAGGATGATGAGGATGATGAGGATGATGATGATGATGAGGATGAGGATGAGGGTGAGGATGAGGATGAGGATGAGGATGAGGATGAGGATGAGGAGGAGGAGGAGGAGGAGGAGGAGGAGGAGGAGGAGGAGGAGGAGGAGCAAGAGGAGGAGGAGGAGGAGGAGGAGGAGGAGGTGGTGGCGCTTGCGCCGCAGATAAGGTGGGACCTCGAGGAGGATGAGGAGGAGGAGGAGGAGGAGGAGGGAGCAGGAGGATAGGGCAGTGCCAAGGCGGATCACCACTAGGGGCGCTCACCACTTCCTTCGTGGACGTCAGAACGAAGGAGGTGACGAGGATAAATTAGGGAAGGATAACGAATGGCATTATTATGAGGACGATATCGGACAAGACAACGAGGAGTTATCGCCATGTTGTATGCTTTACCTTCCTGCCCTTCCGCCGCGACTTTCGCCTGCACGGAAAATGTTAAGGACCAAGCTGCGTGGCGCGAAGCGCCAACGCAGTCTGGTAGGTGTGTGTATATATATATATATATATATCAACCGTTTCGCTCATTCCGCTTGCCCATATTGCGCAGCGCTGGTGGTCGTTTGCAGTGTGGGCCTGCGGGGGCGGGGGCTTTTTTTCCTGAGTCCTTTCGTTCGGAATGGCGAATGTCGAGGCTGAAGCAGCTCTCGTGGAGCAGTCGAGGGGCGATTCGTCTGGACTTTGCGGGAAGTTGTCAGAGGAATCGTTTTGTTTTTCCCAACCATCCTGTGGTGTTGGGTCCTCGTTTTGAAGAGACGGTCCCCGCGTTCCTCTTCTCCTCTCCTCCTCTTCCCCCTCCTCCCCCTCCTCCTCCTCCCTCCTCCTTTTTCCATGCGTTTCACCCACCCAGCACAGCGCTTCGTGGCCCCATAGGGAGCTACACCGAAGGTCCCAGTGGCACCGCCCGCATGCGTCCGCCACCACCCAACACGGCCCTTGCTCTCTGCGTTTCACCCACCCAGTACAGCGTTTCGTGGCCCCATAGGGAGCTCCACCGAAGGTCCCAGTGGCACCGCCCGCATGCGTCCGCCACCACCCAGCACAGCCCTTGCTCCCTGCGCTTCCCCCCCCCAGTACAGCGCTTCGTGGCCCCATAGGGAGCTCCACGGAAGGTCCCAGTGGCACCGCCCGCATGCGTCCGCAACCACCCAACACGGCCCTTGCTCCTTGCGTTTCACCACCCCAGTACTGTGGCTCGTGGCCCCATGGGGAGCTCCACGGAAGGTCCCAGTGGCACCGCCCGCATGCGTCCGCCACCACCAAACACGGCCCTTGCTCCTTGCGTTTCACCACCCCAGTATTGTGGCTCGTGGCCCCATAGGGAGCGCCACCGAATAAGATAGTCACAACTCCGGTACTCACAACTGCATATGGTTGGGCCTTTCGCCAGGCTATTGTTTTCTGCACGGGGTTTCTAGGTGTTTGCTGCTTCGGCAGCAGGCACGTAGAAATTTCCCCGGAGGACCCCCCGGGGAGTGCTTGGGCAGGGCTCGGCACCACACGGCTTCGTATCTGCCGTTTTGCGCGAGAGAGCGCGTCGGCAGTGCAGCGCTGCCTGGGATCTCTCGGCAGGCGCTCGGGGAGCCTCTCGGAGGCAGTCCTGGAGCCTCCTGAGGCGTATCGGGGGCCGTTTCGGGGTTTTCGGGGTTCCGTTTTGGGCTTGAAGCTTCTTGGAGGCTTCCTGGAAGCCCGCTCGCGGTCTCGGAGGCGTCCTTGGAGCGGAAAGCTCGAGATGTCATTTGGAGTTCCCTCTCTTGGGGCCGTCTTGGGGGATCCTGGGCGCCTCTTGGGGCTCTCTTGGGCTGTCTTGAGGCTCTCTTGGCTTATCTTGGAGGCCTGTTGGGCCCTCTTGGGGCGATCTTGGGGGCGCTTGGGCAGTCTTGGACGCTGTGAAACACCAAAAACGGAAGATGCGAAACATGCATGTTATCCTAAGGAAACACAGTTCTTGTGTCTCGGGACCTTGGAGGGCCTCTTGAGCCGGTCCCGGGAGGGCAGAATTTATATCTATATATGTATACACACATACACATACATACATACATACATACATACATACATACATACAGACAGACAGACAGACAGACAGACAGACAGACAGACAGACAGACAGACATCCGTACATACATACAGACACACAGACAGACAGATATACAAACATACATACATACATACATACATACATACATACATACATACATACATACGTACATACATAGTGATTTGGGTGTATGCATGTAGGTAGGTTCGCGAGTGCTCATGTATGATTGTGCGTGCATGTATGTATGTATGGATGTTTGTATGCATCGATGATTGTGTATACATATATATAAATATATAGATATATGTATGTATGTATGGATGTGTGTATGTAGATCGGTGTATGGATGCACCGATGCATGTTTTTGTGTGTATGTGCCTATTTATGTGTGTATGTAGGTAGGTAGGTAGGTATGTTTGTGTGGTTGGTTGTTTATGTGAGTGGTTGTTTGTGTGTTGTTTGTTTGTATGTTGCATGCGTGAATTTATGCATATACACATGCATGAATGTATTAGTGTATGCATGCGTGTATGTATGTACGCACGTACGTTTGAATGTATGCATGTATGTGCGTATGTGTATGTGTGTATGTATATGTATATACATGTATATATATATATATATATGTATGCATCTGTGATACGTTCCAAAGAGGGTTTTGCTTCAGAGGATCGAAGGAGTTGTCATCTTGTCCTCGGCGGAAGACAGCTGAAGGTCGGCGGGAGTAAAGCGAGGCCGCTTCCGCCGGCGGCAGCTGGCGGAAGGCTGGCGAAGGCGGCGGAAGCAAAAAGTTGCCCTCTAAGAGACGATGACATTTTTGGATTCAGGGTTTCCGGAATTCGATATGGCCATACATATATGCATGTATAGCCGTACAGCTGAGTAGATATTTGTGTATATGTATGAATAGCCATACCTACGTATGTATGTATGTATGTATGTATGTATGTATGTATGTATGTGCGTACGTATGTATGTATGTATGTATATATGTATATATATATATACATGCATACCTCTATACATATATATATATATATATATATATATATATATATACTTGCACAGAGCATCTGCACGCCCGCGGACGGCACGCTTGCGCCAGAGCCCCTCCCTGCCGGCTTTGGGGGGGGGGCTTCGGCGACAGCGGAACATGCTGCCGCCCGTGGGCGCCCGAAGCCCCGGCTGCTGCCGAGGAGGATCCTGGCCAGGGCGACCCCAGCTTTTCCAAGAAGGCCTTGGGCGCTCCTCCTCCTCCTCCTCCCCTCCTCCTCCTCCCCTCCTCCTCCTCTCCTCTCCTCCTCCTCCTCCTCCTCCTCCTCCTCCTCTCCTCCTCCCCTCCTCCTCCTCCTCTCCGGAGCACCCCGCAGGAGGCCCAGAGGGGCCCAGGGACTCCAACAGGGCGCGAAGAGGCAGGTCGACTGCGGGGACATTCGCGCGCAAGCCGCCCGCGCAAGGCCGCGCGTGAATGCCCTGCGTTTTCTCGCGGCGTGTCGCGTGAGCGGCCCCGTGGCCGTAAGGCCGCCGTGCCTTCGTGCATAAGAACCGCTTTACTTTTATCCTCGGCGTGCTCCCCCCCCTCCTCAGATCAGGGTCCGCTTTTGATTCGATGGATCCGCTCTTCCGACGATCCGATGCGGCACGATGCCTACATGTTGCTGTTGCGTATCCTTGCGCAGCCGATCTCATCCGATTTCGACTCCTTGCCGATGCAGCCCGATCCGATGCACGTGTCGATTCGATCCGATCTACGGAGCGGTGCCGACTGATCCTGCCTCAGGTTCACCTCGGGCGAGAGCGCGCGCCCTTTGGCACTCGACGCAGAGACGGCGTCCGCCTCGGACCCCCTCAGCCCCACCAGAAGCTGCTCGGCGCCCTTGCCGACTAGGAGGCATTCGTTCCTGCCGTTCAGCCTCGACGTGGACGCCCAGGAGGACCCTCCGCACCTATCCAGCCCCCATCGCTGCGCGGGCCACACTTCTGGATCGGATTCGCTCCTCGTCGTTGCTGTCTCTCCCCCTCGTTCCTGCGCCTTCCAGTGATCCTCCTGCTCCTCTTGCTCCTCTTGCTGCTCCTCTTGATGTTCGACCCAGGAGGCTCCAGAGATCGCCGGCTCTTGCATTCCCTCTCCTTCCGCCTCCTGTCTCACTTCGGTGGCAAAGATGGGGCGCCAGCACGCTGAGCTTTCAGACTCATTAGTCAGGTCAGGGATCCGCTTTGGCGAGCGCCTCACTCACTCACTCATTCACCCGTTCCTCTCGGGTCATGGGAACATCTTGCGAACGGTCTTGTGTCGGCGAGCCAATTTGGCGGCCCTCGTCTTGTACGACTACCACAAGCCTAAAGTTACCTAACACCGAAGACTGATAGGTTTCTAATAGGGTCAAAAGAGAGCATCATGACTCCCCAGGGGGGTCTGGGCGGCATCCGGACAGGGATCCGCGGAAGTCGCTTTAAGCAAACAGTTACACACTTCGTGGTCTTCGAGGTCCCAGAACTCCATTCCCGGGCCACATTCTGAATGCCCGGAGCCAACGGTAGGCCACTTCGTGCTCTTCGAGTTCCCAGAACTCCATTCCCGGGCCACATTTTGAATGCCCGGAGCCAACTGTAGGCCACTTCGTGTTCTTCGAGTTCCCCAAACTCCATTCCCGGGCCACATTTTGAATGCCCGGAGCCAACTGTTGGCCACTTCGTGGTCTTCGAGTTTCCAGAAGTTCGTTCTTGGGCATGGTTTTGAATGCCTGGAGCCAACCTGCAGGCCCCTTCGTGGTCTTCGAGTTCCCAGAACTCCATTCCTGGGCATGACTTTGAATGCCTGGAGCCAACTGTAGGCCACTTCGTGGTCTTCGAGTTCCTAGAACTCCAATCCTGGGCATGATTTTGAATGCCCGGAACCAACTGCAGGCCACTTCGTGTTCTTCGAGTTCCCAGAACTCCATTCCCGGGCCACATTTTGAATGCTGAGGCAGGCTGAGGCTGAGGCTGAGGCAGGCTGAGGCTCAGGCAGGCTGAGGCTGAGGCCGAGGCTGAGGCTGAGGCTGAGGCTGAAGCAGATGGAGGCTGAGGCAGGCTGAGGCTGAGGCAGGCTGAGGCTGAGGCTGAGGCTGAGGCAGGCTGAGGCTGAGGCAGGCTGAGGCTGAGGCCGAGGCTGAAGGCAGACTGAGGCTACTGAGGCTGAGGCTGAAGCAGGCTGAGGCTGAGGCTGAGGCAGGCTGAAGGCTGAGGCAGGCTGAGGCTGCTGAGGCTGAGGCTGAGGCAGGCTGAGGCTGAGGCAGGCTGAGGCTGAGGCCGAGGCTGAAGGCAGACTGAGGCTGAGGCTGAAGCAGGCTGAGGCTGAGGCTGAGGCTGAGGCTGAGGCTGAGGCAGGCTGAGGCTGAGGCAGGCTGAGGCTGAGGCAGGCTGAGGCTGAGGCTGAGGCTGAGGCTGCAGGAGGCTGAGGCAGGCTGAGGCTGAGGCTGAGGCTGAAGCAGACTGAGGCTGAGGCTGAAGCAGGCTGAGGCTGAGGCTGAGGCAGGCTGAGGCTGAGGCTGAGGCTGAGGCTGGCTGAGGCAGGCTGAGGCTGAGGCTGAGGCTGAGGCCGAGGCTGAAGGCAGACTGAGGCTGAGGCTGAAGCAGGCTGAGGCTGAGGCTGAGGCTGAGGCAGGCTGAGGCTGGCTGATGCAGGCTGAGGCTGCAGGCTGAGGCTGAGGCTGAGGCTGAGGCTGAGGCAGGCTGAGGCTGAGGCGAGGCTGAAGGCTGAGGCTGAGGCTGAAGCAGGCTGAGGCTGAGGCTGAGGCAGGCGGAGGCTGAGGCAGGCTGAGGCTGAGGCTGTGACTGCGACTGCCGTTGCCACTGCGACTGCCATCGCGAATGCGACTGCGACTGCGAGAACAGCAGAATTCTACAGCTGGATTCTCATTTGAATCTTAAGGGGAATGTTTCAATACATGTTCCTACACATCGCTGTGTTGTTGTTTTGCCGGGATATTTTTTCGGATCTACGGCACGGCCCCCTCCTCGCAGGGCTGCCGCGGCCGCCGAAAAGCAAGTGTGCCAAGAACCTCTCCCACCCCTGTTTCTGCAAACGCCGCGGCACCATCCGAGGGCTGCAGGCGCCTGCTCCAGTTTCTCCCCATGCTTTTGACGTTTTTGTTCCTGCTGTTCCTCGAGCTCCTGGGCTGCAGCGCTCCACCTTTACGACGCAGGGAGTCGCGGACCTCGAGGAGGTGGTGGCCCTGGCCAACAAGTTCGAGGACGAGATCTTTGACAAGCAGCGCAATGACAACATCGACAAGGCTCAAGCCTCGGTGACTCGAACTGTCCCGCTGGAGCAGGAAGTCACCGACGCGTTCAGGATCGCGCGGAACTTCGAAGCCAACTTGGGCCGCGAGTTCGACACGTTCGACCGCTAGCGCGCCATCACCATCGAGAAGGGGCGCGAGTTCGCTAAGTACCGAGGCGAGCTCAAGGTGCACGACGGAATCCATCGCGACGTTCCCAACCAGCTGCGCCAGGCGACTACGCTTGCTGCAGCTCCTGCTACTAAGCCGGGTTTTGCAGCCAGGCGAACCCTCAGTCCCCGCGACATCGTCGAGGGCGAGGATATCATCAAGTTCGACACTTCGGAGCTCCTTCGCAAGGATGACTCGGAGGAGCACGACGCTTCCGCCGCTGACCAGGAGCAGATTACCCTGTGCACCAAGGAACTCGAAGAGGAGCTTCAGCAAATGGCCCAATCCCCGCTTTCAGCGGCGCGATCAATAATATCGACAGGATCAGGAAGGCCCAGAAAGACCACATTTTTCGCTTTACCAAAACGAGGAGACAGCTGCAGCTGGTGGCGCCGATGCATTTGCCGGCAGCGGCGCCGGAGGAGGAGGTCCCAAGGGGGATCCGAATGAGCTGCTCCGGCCTGGAAGCCCCGTCGCGCATCCAGCACCCCAATCGCCCAATCGGTTGCGGCCGGAGGCTCACAAATGTCTGCCGCCGTTGCGCAGCTCGGCCCGAGTCAGACGGCGACGGCCGCGCCCGCGGAGGCCACCGCCAAGGCCGCTGTCGCGCACCCAGCACCCCTATCGCCTGCAGGCGCGGCCGGGGGCCCAACCGTTTCCGCCGCCGCTGCGCAGCTCGGCCCAAGCCAGACGGCGGCGGATACGCCCGCGGAGGCCACCGCCAAGGCCGCCGTGCGCGAGCGCGCCCGCGACCTCGGCGCGAGCGCGGAAGGCCCCCCTCGCCCCGGCCCCAGGGGCAGGGGGAACGTTTATCGCACGTCGGGGCCCAAGGGCCCCAGGCAGCCGCGAGAACAATTGAGGCGTTCCAAATGAGGCCTTGCCTTCGAGGATCGAAGGAGTTGTCGTGTCTTCCGCCGCGGAAGGCGGCGGAAGCTCGACGGAAGGCCCCCCCGCCCCAGCCCCAGGGGCGGGGCAACGCAAGTCGGGCCCGTCCTTCAACAGGAGGAATATTCAAAGATATTCAAAAAATAGTACGAGGACGATGCGTTGTGCATTTGTTTGCTACGCTTGAATGTTTGTCGCGCACTTGCATGCTTCATCCGAAATCCGCAGAATTCTCATTGTCTGTCAATGCCGCCACATGCACCGCTTGGTCTTCCGCCAAATCTTGGCTCGCGCCCACTTCGTCGCAGGTGCTTCCAGTTCAAGATAACGGGCCGCGGGACATTGAAAGGTCGGACGAAGCGTCTCAATGGGCCTCCACACGCGGATGGGCAGTTTATTTTCAGCCGTTGTGGGGGCGTCAGATGGCGGCGCCTCCTTTCTGCTCTTGCATTCCCCCCTGGAAGGTCTCGTTTCGGCGCCGCCCAGAGCCGCCCAGGGTGGCGCTTAGATTCCAAGGGGGGGGGGGGGGGTGCGAGAGTTTCTCGTGCTTGCACGCGCGGCCACGAGGACCTTTCGCATATGAATCTACAGGGTTTCGCCGACATCGGCAGCGCCCTCGAGCTCTGCCGCGCGCCCCCCCCCCTCGGGGGGCGACTTTGAAAGCAGCCCCCCGCGCTCGAGGACAGCCTCTTTCCAGCGAGGCGGCTATCATCGTTAACCCTGACGCTCCTGGCTCGCGCGTGATGAGTAGTGGCGGTCTTCGGCTCATCGATTATTTCGTCGCTTCCTCGGGGCTCACCAAAGCTGTTTCTGGGCGGCGAGGTCGCCCTGGATCGCGACTCGGACATCAAGACGCACGCCCCAGTCACATTTCGGAACTATCCTCAGACGGCTTCGCTCCACGCTTAAATGTTAGCGAGCAACCCCAAGATCCCCGTGGAGATCTTTACTGGGCTTGCTAATTATCCGTCGTCTTCCGAGGGCGTGCTGGACGGCGCCCCCCACGCGCTGGAATTCTTAGAATCTCGGGCCAAACGCGCAGGCATTCGTCGCCATCTTGCAGGAGCCCAGACTTCCCACGCATGCGACCTGGTCTGCGAGGCGGGCCTCCAAAACTTCACTGGGCCAGCGTCCCGTAACAAACGCAGAAATTCTCGGGCGCGAAGCAAGACAGCTGGGCCTCGTGGGCCCCAAGTGGACAGCGCGTTCTTTCCGTGGCATCGCGGCCGCGCTCGACTCGGAGGGGGGCCGGGACACTTACCAGCAGTTTATCCCAGGCCCCCTGCTGCTTCCTCCCTCCAAAGCTGCGAATAGTCTGTTCGATTGTTCGGATGAGCTCCTGGAGGCCCACGTTCCCTTCGGGCTTGATCAGCGCCCCGCTCGAAGACTTGCGTCTCGATCTGGACAGGGGCGCTGCTCGCTTCTCGGAGGCGTCGACGCCGGAGAACGCCGAGCCCGCAGTTGGACCCGCGGGCAGAAGCCGCGGAGATTAACTACGGTGGGGGCGCCCCTTAAGGAATCTACCTTGGACGCTTCAGACCCTGGAGGGTCCCTGATCCAATAATGGCGGCGGCGATGCCCGCGGCCACTCCACGATTGAAGTTCCGCGGGCTTCC